ATTTGACTTTTTTGACCACGGTAGCATGACATGGCAAAAGTTGTTGTGCACGTCATCACTTTTTTAAATTTTGCCCTCCACATCATCAAAAAAAATATTAAAAATGCCACGGAAGCAAAGTTAACGGTCCAATTTAACAGAAGGACTAACGGAGTGCATTTCGTATAGTTGAGGGATCAAAAAAGTGCAAAAAATTCTCAAGGGACCAAAAATGTGCAAACCACTAAAGTTGAGGGACCAAAATGAGCATTTAACCTTGAGAATAATGCAGATAGACCTAAAGTGCGGTCAGGACCACACCTTGGTCTTTGAAAATCTTACAAACCGTAGAAGCCTTAGGCCACGCATTCCTCAACAACAATGCCCAGTACTCAATCACTCCGTACCTTGCATTCACCACTTCCTCCACCGCAAGCACCCTCTTGCACCAGAAAACCAAAAAACCACAAAACATTGCCCCCAGAAAGACCCCCCACTTCAGCAAAATCTTCAGAGACTCCAAATCCAGGCCTAAAACCTCACCTTGGTCACCAACTAGATCATTGTTTTTTCACTTAGCGATCTCAGAAGAGCTCTAGTACCAACAATGCCAAGTATTCACAATCTCAAAGTGTAAATTCCACCAAAAAAGGACGGACTGAAACAATTGGAGACTATACGACATGGGAAGTGACTACTTTTGGATGAAAATTTTATTGAGCATTTCAAATTTCAATTGTGTTGCACGAAACCCAAACACTTGGGTCGATTGATAACAGCGGATTTAGGTGCCTCAAGCCCCCACAATAGTCATAGCTGAAGGAAAATGTTAAAAATTCGGAAAAAAAATAAAAAAAATAAAAAGAAAAAAGAAAAACCAAAACTGTATTCCCTTTCCCAATCCTATTCCTTCTTCCCGTTGGAATTGAGCATGCTAGGTGACGAGCTAAAAACAGAGGTTGAGGGAGAATAGGATGGGTATTGATGGATTTGCTGCAGATGGAACGCAGGAGTTGGGATTCATAATAGAAGAGGAACCCTAAAGAGGTGAAATTGAGGTGATTCTGTGATGCTGATAATCTCCATTTGATGTTGCCGAAAGCGAGTGCGAGAGAGACCGAAGCCCAAATCATAAGACTTACCCTTCCCAACATGACAATTACAGTTATATCCCCAAGACGATAAACATCCAAAAATGATTCCCCACTTATGAAATGATTCCATCAAAATCCAAACAAGAATTTTTATGAGTCTGCTAAAGGAAGTAGATTAATTGGACAACTAAGAAAGATTAACAGCTTAAACCTTCAAATATATTTTACAATAAGGAAAGATAAAATTACAAAGCATAATAAACACAAGAGAAGACTGACAATTTTAGACAAGCCAATGCCAACCATAACAAGAACTTCAAACCCGAAAAGCACTTATTTAGGAAACATTAAGGGCATGTTTGGTGCAGCTCCTAGGAGCTTCAGATTTTGTACACTATTCATGTCTCATGAATTTAAATTTCCCTCTTAAAAACTTACACTTTTAAATATTTTTTTAACCTCAAAAAGCTCTTAAACAGTAAAAGCTCAAAAGCTTCAAATCCAAACTTTTCATAAACTCTCTTTTTACTTACTTTTCACTTACTTTTTCACCTTTCTAAAAGCTAAAGCTCTATTTTCCCTCCAATAAAAATTTAAATTTATCACTCATAACAGTACTCAAAAAGCTAAAGCTCCCACCAGCCACACCAAACAGGCCCTAAATCAGAAGCTCCAAAACATCAACTCTGCAACTAGCTTCTTCTTTGAACAAGTCTTCTGGCTTTCCTCATCTTCCTTCCCCTTTGACTTGGTCGGCCATCAAACAAAGACACAAACCATTTTGGTTTTCCTGTTCGGAATACAAGATATCCCATCAGCAGTCCAAAAACAACTCCACATCCATAGCCTAACACCGCAACTCTCCAGCCAAATCTCCACAACTCATCTTTTTCTTGGAAGGAGCTCGGCGGTGTCCCAATTCCATCACAAGATTTTGACAATGGGATTCCACACAGTTCAAGGTTTCCTTCATAAGAACCATTTCCAAAGGTGTTGAACTGATTGCCCTGTGGTATGCGCCCGACAAGATGATTATTTGAAAGATTCAATACAGAGAGTTGTGTCAAAGATACCAATTCATCAGGAATTTTCCCCGCCCAGCTTGTTGGAAGAGAGATCCAACCATTCCAGATTCGTCAAATTCCCTAGTGACGGTGGGATATGACCAGTAAGGTTGTTATAAGAAAGATCAAGCGATTTGAGAGAACTAAGCTTTCCAATAACACCTGGAATTTCTCCCTCAAACATGTTATTTGAGAGATTAATACTACTGAATACGGTCAAGATTCCCTGCAGCTCAGAGTCGAATCCCTTCCATGTCACAACCAGTGAATATTGATAAGGATTGGCTCTTGTTGGCACCTTCATGTATTCAAGGGAACCATCCTCTCCATGAGGGTCCATCATCGCTTTAAAATTTTCCATGTACCGAACAGGCAAAGCACCAACAAAATAATTGCTGGAGAGGTCCAGAACTCGCAACTTGGGAAAAGATGGACTTTCTTTGGTGCTCTGCACAGAACCATGGAACTTGTTGGACCTTAAGACAAGCACTTGAAGGTCTGGTAGAGATTCCAACCAATAAGGGAATGTGTCACTTATGCTGTTGTTGCCAACGTCTAGAACCTCTAACATGCGACAATTCACCAAAGACCTTGGTGATAAGCCGTCCATTTGATTTCCATGTAAATTGAGATTTCGTAATCCACAGCCCTCTGGAAACCCAAATGCTATATTTCCATCAAAGTAATTGGCCTGCAAATTCAACACTGAGAGAGACTTAGGAAGACAATTTGGAATCTTCCCGATTAAGCTGTTATGAGAAAGGTCAAGGATTTCGAGATTTTGAAGTGCCGAGAACATGTCAGGTACTACTAAATCACTAAAATGATTTGATGAAAAATTGAGATAACTAAGATGTACTAAATTAGCAATTGAGTTAGGAATTGAACCATGGAGTTTATTGTTTGACAAATCTAGGTGTGTGAGTGAGTTTTGCTGGAATTGATTTATTTGACCTTGAAATTGGTTATCATTGAGATACAAGTACTCTAACAAAGGTAGGGTGAAAATCCAAGGTGGCAATGTGCCATTAAGTAAGTTATAAGAAAGGCCAAGAGAGGTAAGTTGGGTGAGGTTTGCAAGTGATGATGGGATTTGTTCGCTAAGATTGTTAGAAAAGAGGTCTAGGCTAGTAAGTTGCCTTAAGTTACCTATGGAAGCTGGAATGGGACCAGAAAACTGATTATCGGAAAGGTCAAGAGAGGCAAGTTGGGTGAGGTTTGCAAGTGATGATGGGATTTGT